TCTCAGCATCTATTTCTATGACCAAATGAAGCATTAATTCAAATCATAAATCTATGGTGATTTAAATCTGGGAATGAGCACCTGCCTGCTTTAATGATTTATTTTGTACATTTCAGTAAGCAGGAGATTTGTCCATATGAACTGACAGGTCACCTTCAGATGCCAGCAGCAGACTGTTTATCACCATGCAGACTAGCATCTCATCTTAGCAAGTAAATATTAAACTAAAAGAATCCAATTGATTGTGGATGGGGGAGAAAGGCGTAGCTGCCATATATTTTACTCAGTGTGCTAATACCTCACTCTGATTCTTCCATGGTTCCTTATTTTTTTCTTCTAAAATGGTAATTTTGGAGTGATGTCAAATTGCAGTGAACAAAGAGGGAGAGGGTTTGGATGCAAGCTCAAGGTTACCATATAAAATTGAAGGATATAAAATAATTACTTATTAGTGTCATTGACATTCTTTAATTCCCTTTACTCGCTAGCCTTTTGGCTACCGCTTCAAAGGACCAGTTAATATATTTGTGTAGTGCTGTAGATAACTGAAAAATGTTCAGCCACAAAAACTGACTTCTGTAAGTCATGTTAAGGGTTTGATTAAAGCCAAAAAAGCAAGACATTTCCAAACTAAATCTAACAATGCATACTGGGACTCCATGCTTAACTTACTTTACTTTGCACAGGTAATGCTGGAGCCAGAGATCAGACAATTATCCTCTCCACATGTACTAAATATGGTCTAATAGCACAATATAATGAAATGAGTTACCTTTGTTTAGCAGTAACTCTATTTTTTTTTAATATTGCTTGGTCATGTGCATCAAGTGCACATAAAATATACACTGTGAGCAAATTACTTTTATTCATCTTATATCCCTTTCCCCCAGCCCTCAACAATATGTTTAAAATGTGAGTATAGCCATAAATATTGTAACTCACTAATAATGTATGTATCTAATACCCTTAATAAGTTTCAGATGCCTAGATAAAATATTGATTAGATATACAATGCTAACATTTTAAAACACAGGTTTTGGTTGTAATGTGGGAGATTTTTAAAACACAAGTGGGAATGAGGCACCTACTTCCCACTGATGGTTAATCTGAGTTACACTACTCTACCGGCTTTAAAAGTTTCCCTCAGTAATTACAGCAGTTCTTCCAAAGCCTGTTCAGATATTTCTTAGCATAGCATTCGTGTAAGAGCATTGATCAGCCCAGTGCAACAATGAGTGACACCAGAGTATATGGCAATTTTAAGCCATTATGGTTTATTCTGATGACCTAGAATGTTGCATCTGTCATTATTTGACCTAGTATAATTATTTGGGGTTTTTTAATATAATTTCATAAGTGTATATGATGCTACACACTAGGTAAGCCATGGTAAATAGTAATCAAAGTACTGAACCAAGAGGCCTTGAGAAAGTATAATATAGCAGATGATCATATGCCCAAACAAACATACTGTACTAATGGAGGTTTTCTTAAAAACAAGGGAGAAATTAGAACGCTACTATCCATTGTGATGAGGCTGAGGAAGAGTTTCATTATTAAATAGATAAGGCTAAGTCACTAGCAAGCATTCTAAAGATCACAATTAAAAACCTTGCTTTACAAAGGGGGGAGGGAGCAAACTGCAGCTAGAGAGCCACACAAGATGTTTTTACAGTTAAAGTGTGATTTGCACAATCCTTCATGTCCTCCCCAATTCTTCACCTAGCAGATTGGGGGGATGGGTGAAATTTAAGGCTTACCCTGGTAGGGCTAGGGGCTTCTGTCTGGTGTGGGGGAATGTAAGGGCTTCAGCTCCACATAAAGCACCTGACAAGTCTTGGGGCTTCAGCGGAAGCACCAAGCCCCACCACTTTGCAACTGGGCAGGAGCCTTGAGGAGGTGCACCTGGTTCTCAAACGTCTGAGGATTATCAAATGTGGCTTGCAGCATCCCTGCTTTACATATATAATAGTACATGTTTACTACATAAATAACTTGACTGTACCTACACATTGATCACTTTTGATTACAATACTAAACCCCTTTAAAATATGCTTTCCTATCTGCTAATCTGGGGTATAAAAACAATGGTTTTTTTAATCCAGCTAAAAATTATTTTAGCTGCTGTGCCACAGAGACTGTACTCTATTTACTTTGTTGTTAACAGTCAGTAACTTCTGCACTGCCATATAAAAACTGACATATACAAACTTTGTCTCTAGAACTGCTAAACAGGATTACAGTCCCATAGTACAATATTTGAACATGTTATTTCAAATAATGCCTTCATCTGAGACCTGAATTCCAGATCTACTTCCGTTACTACCTCTTCATTCCCCCAGCTGGTAATGCTATCCTCTCATTCTTCCTCACTACCCTATTTTTTTCCTATGCTTCTCTGAGGGCCACCTGCTCTCTCCAACTCACTCTCCAACTCACTCTCCTCAGCTCTCAAAACTTCTCCTGCTGCCTTCCTTTTACTCACCCCTGCTTTCCTGCTAAGAAGACAAGTTGGTTTTTTCCTTTCCTACTGCTCTGGTAATTGTGGTAGCAAACTAGTCAGGGCCTCCTTCTTCACTGTCACTGGAAAAGCATTCTGAAGTGTTGTGGTGGATTGTTGCTGTTCCTAGAGCAGTTCTTTATTATAAAACCTGACATTCTCTTCATAGGAATTTTCAAGTATACATTTTAGTTCTTTAAAAAATATACCTGCCCAGAATATTTTGGTGCTGCAGTTTATGTTCTATCTGTCTTGCTATGTATTTTAGAAATGTGTGTCTGTCTGTCTATCTGTCCAACTGTGAATCTGTTTATTCAAGAACAACTCCTAAACTGGAAGAGCTAGAACCACCAATGCATATGAACCCTTAGCATAATTTAAAACAAGGTCAAGGTTTGGTTGCACCAGGATAATGGGATGTGCCTGGAATTTAATTGTTTCTCATTCATTGGAAAGGGAGGGGTCTGGAAGGAAGGAGTTATATTGCGATATGACCACAGTGGGGCAGCAAGGAGCTAGAGATGGGCACTGGGACAGCTATAATCCCATTGGGCCAGCACAGCGAAGGAGGGGGAAAAGGGACACCTATCTATATATGTACATATTTCAGAGAGTTTGTCTATTTGTGTGTTTGTTTGTCTCCCAGCTGGGAGACATGTACCTCTTCCTCTGCTGTGCCTTCTTTAGCTACAGTGGCCATGGAGAGGTGCTTCTAACCTGGCCCCAAGCTGCAGTGGGGAGAAAAGGCTGGGGTTGTCCTCTCTTCCTGCCCAGCCTGCTTACTGAACTTCTCATCCACAGCCCCACCCCAGAACAATTACTTAAATGAAGAAAAGTAAAACTTATTTGCATTAATGCCCTGAAGCAACGCTGGGTAGATCTTTAAGTATTTATATAAGTTGACCACAGGGTTGTCTTTACCCATATGCAGAATATGCAGCTATGTAGGGCACCCTCAAATTTGGGGTACCACTGGGTCTTAATTTCCATCCACCCATTCTTCCTATCCCTGATCTCTGGCACTGCTTCCTCTAGAGAGAATCTAGTTAACTTAAAACTGAAAAGGCAAGTCAGAACATTGCACCTGTGAAAGAACCATTCAAGTGATAATAAAGCCATTTTACAGACATTTGCCAACCCCAAGTATATGCTGTTAGTTTCTGAATTTACTGTGTTAGTCTACAGGACCTTAGTTTAAAATTTGCTATAAAATATTTCATTAGCATGTTGCTGAAGATTATAAAATCACATCTCTAAGAAATCATCAGGCTGTCTTCTATGAGAGGGGTAGTTTATTAGTACTTTCTAGGGCTCCATAAATCCTGAGGACATCCCTGATTAACTAGAAGTACATGCAGAAGTACACAGAAACAGTAGTCGCTTACTTTTATTTACTTTTAATTATGGAAATCTCCCTCTCCTGAAGTTAACAGGGTTAAGCTTTGCTCCATCTGCAGTGTGGAAGGAGAGGATATGAGAAGGCATACATGCCTGGATCCCCCTGCCTTAAACTCGCCGTCTTCCCACTGGCTGGAGATGGGGGAGAAGGTTATCCCATTGGCTGTCACTTTTATTTATTGTTAGTGAAGGAAAATAGACAATATTTATCCTTCAGAGTAATCTTAAAAAGTCTGAAAGAACATGGGGAGGGTAAAGGAACGTTCTGAAGTGTAAAGAGCCATTTTAGTCCTATATATGCTTGTACTGATTATAGTGTCCTGAACATACATTTTAGTCACTCAATTACTACTTCTATGTTATCTTGTTAGTACTGTCTCAACATCATAAAATGAGTCAGTACAATAAAATGGCATACCAAACCACTATATTGCAGAGGTGTGCATATGATTAAAGATTTAATCAACAGAAACATTAATGTGTTTTATCAAAACAACAAATGAATATAATGTATTGAAAAAATTCCTTTTTCAAAAGAACAAGAATTGTTGATAATTGTTTAACAAACAAAAAAATCAGTTAATTTAAGAATATGTTCATTAAAATAGGAGAGTAATAGTAAAGCATGGTAATAATTTATTGAGTATGTATGTTTTCCTTTTGTCACAGGGTACCTGAAACTGTGGAATATTTTGTTTTCAAGCTACTATTCTGAATTACCTAAAGTCGATATTGAGTACAGTGAGTAGGAGACATGGTAAAATTTTGCTCTGACACCATCATCTGTCACCCTACCTGTACTTTGAAAAAAAGAACTCTTAGCAATCAAACTGCTTTCTTCCCTGGACAATATTAACTGGGCTCTGAAGTAGCCTGATACAAAGAAAGGATGTTCTTATAATAGTAATAAAGTCAAGTACTCTTGTAAAAGTCAACTACAAAAAAAAAAAAAAAAAGAACTAAACAGGCACAAAAGTGACTTGCAAATATGCCACATTTTCCCAAAATCAAATGTTTAATGTCCAGGGAGGAGGAGTATCAATGTAGTAAGGTTCATTATGGACATGTATGTATGTATGTAATATTTACTTCCAAAACTTACCAACACTGGAATTCAGATCTCCATTCTCAGACTCTGCGCCATGCTGGTTATTATTGGCATGATAGTTGGACATAGCTTCTAATTTGATTTTTTTCACTTTCATTGCTTCTGCTATGGCTGCATTGGTAGCAGCTGCTGCTGCTGCAGCTGCTGCTGTCAAACCTGCAAAGAAATATGAATGAAACTTAATATACGTTATACTATGACTCTTCATTAGTGTAAGGCTTGAAACTGTTACTCTTCCTTCATCATTTACTACATAATTAGCAGAGGGTATTACTGAATAAAATTAATTCTTATTTGCTTAGGAGACTGTTTACTTTTTAATATAGAATGCATAGCATGCTATGTAAATAGTTACTTATATTCATGTGAATTCACAAAATCATCTCTAATAGCAGTCAGAATACAACTGCACCTACAAATATATCTGTTTGTAACCCCAACTTCACCAGCAAACCATGTATCTAACTGCAAAGGTGCATGCAAATAAATATACCTGAAACACACTGTGGATGCAAAGCTATGTTTAAAACATCAGAGGACAAGCTAAAAATTAGGGCCATAGAATTTGAATATCATATTAATGACTAATAAGTAATATTCACAATTAATGCATTCTTTCTGAGCTCACATAAAATTCCAAGTTACTCTAGTGGACTAAATGGGGCATACTAAGACAGCCATAGCTTTCTTAAAGAAAGAAAAAGTTGGCATTGCAGATCATAGAAAAATACATAATGATTTACAATGCTACAACCTAAAATCAGGCTTAGACCTCAAGGCCTCTGTGCTGGAGACATCTCCTGCACACCAGCCTCTACCAAGCCACTTTCTTGCAATCCAAGATCTACATCTCCTATGATAAATTCTCCAGTGCCAGACAAAAGCTCAACATCCAGCCATACTTGTGAAACACTATATTGTAACCTGTTAATGAGCTTCCTGTCAAGAATGATTGGTGAACTGCACAATTTTCATTCATCACACTCCATTCAGTCTTTGTCCAATGCCCTGAGTACAGGGCAATGCATAGTTGTGTCACGCCTTGAGCAGCCCAGGGGAAAAATTTTAATTCACAGACTCACAATTCCTTTCCTGTTCTCCTCTTCCTCCTGCAAAGGCAAGCTAACAGTTGTCTTGCAGGTGCCCCCTTGAGTGGTATGTTGGGAAATGGTGGGAGATACACCTCTATCCACTCATTGCCCCTCTCCATGTATCAGGAGCTTTCCAACCCTACCCTTGAACTAATAGACAGAGGTGAGGGTCTCACTCCCCCTTAGGAAAGCACAGATACTACAGGCTCAGTAGGGTCCCAGCACCTGGAAATAAGTGAAGAGGGCAAAATCTAAGTTTTTCTTTTTAAGTAAGTTTCTATCCTTCCTGATTGTGAAGAAAAGCTTGAAAGCATGACTCAAGGTTAGCTAGTATAGTGATGTCTGCCTGAGTCTGCAGACAGCATGAAGGAGCCTGCTGGATCTTCTGGAAAAAAACAGAGGAAGTGATCCCCATATTACTGCCCCTGCCTCTTCAAGTGGTGGGATGGGACTATAATGTGGACATAGAACAATGAGTGTCCTATGTTATATAGTGCCTAAGGCTCTAAATTGCCCTAGGCAATCCACTTCATATAACTGAGGGCCAAATTGTGACTCGCTCTAACATCTGGACAAAAATGTAATGTCTCCAAGTGTTGCTAGAATTATAAATTACCCTATAATGACTTTCTGTACAGCTATACCAGTGTAAGTTACAAAACTGTTATTTAGGTAGTAAGAAAGAGTCCAAATACTAAAGAACAAGGTTAAAACCCATTTAATATTTACTACTCCTATGAAGCTTGCAAATTCAGATCTGACAAATACAATAATATGGAAGCTTTCAATGATATTTTTAGCTTAAAGGAAGGATATGAAGTTATAAGTTATACAGATTTGGATACAGTTCCTAAATTAAGCCACAGAAAAGGGATGATGCACCTCTGAACTTACATTTGTATCCTGTGTTTGTTATACAGCATGGTATCCTATACTTCCTTTTTCTTAATACCATTGTCAAGCTATATCTAGTACCTTTAAAGAACAGAAAAGTCAAATACAGCATACCTAATGAATGCAAACTTTCTTTTGCATCAGAATACATCAATATTTAACCCTACTCTCTTAGGATACATACACACAGCAACATTATTTCCAAATAACTAGCATTATTTCAAAATAACTTAGTCCGCATCTACACAGCAGGCAGTTGTTTCTAAATAATGTCAAAATACTGTCAAGCTGGAGGACTTCTTCAACTCCTATGACCCTCATTGCATGAGGAGTAAGGAAAGTTGGAGTAAGAGTGCTATATTTCGAAATAAGTGCTGTGTAGATGCTCCCAATTTCAAAATAAGCTATTTTGAAATAAAGTATTAAATTGACAAAGCTCAATTTGCGTAGCTTATTTTGAGTTAAACCCTTGTATGTGGATGTACCTTAAGGGTGTTTCTAAACTACATGGCTCCATCGATGGAGCCATGTAGTTTAGACACACCCTTAAGGTACATCCACATACAAGGGTTTAACTCAAAATAAGCTACGCAAATTGAGCTTTGTCAATTTAATACTTTATTTCAAAATAGCTTATTTTGAAATTGGGAGCATCTACACAGCACTTATTTCGAAATATAGCACTCTTACTCCAACTTTCCTTACTCCTCATGCAATGAGGGTCATAGGAGTTGAAGAAGTCCTCCAGCTTGACAGTATTTTGACATTATTTAGAAACAACTGCCTGCTGTGTAGATGCGGACTAAGTTATTTTGAAATAATGCTAGTTATTTGGAAATAATGTTGCTGTGTGTATGTATCCTAAGAGAGTAGGGTTAAATATTGATGTATTCTGATGCAAAAGAAAGTTTGCATTCATTAGGTATGCTGTATTTGACTTTTCTGTTCTTTAAAGGTACTAGATATAGCTTGACAATGGTATTAAGAAAAAGGAAGTATAGGATACCATGCTGTATAACAAACACAGGATACAAATGTAAGTTCAGAGGTGCATCATCCCTTTTCTGTGGCTTAATTTAGGAACTGTATCCAAATCTGTATAACTTATAACTTCATATCCTTCCTTTACTGCTATTCCAAGAAGTCCCTTAATCCTCATGGAATGAGGTTTACTGGGACATTGAAAGTCCATTATTTTGATGGCATTTTGAAATAACAGGTGTTAAGATGTAGAAAATGCTATTTCGGGATACCAGACATATCCCAAAATATTGCTTCTATCAAGATGTACCCTTACAATGCTATTTTCTAGTTGATCAAGGATTTTATGAGACTTGAAATCTCAATCACATAGGCTACGTCTACACTGGCCCCTTTTCCGGAAGGGGCATGTAAATTTCAGCAGTCGTCGTAGGGAAATCCGCGGGGGATTTAAATATCCCCCGCGGCATTTAAATAAAAATGTCCGCCGCTTTTTTCCGGCTTTTAAAAAAGCCGGAAAAGAGCGTCTCTTACTTCAAAGTAGGAATAAGAGCCTCCGGAAAAGGGCACTTTTTCCGGAGGATCGGGGCCAGTCTAGACGTTCTTTTCCGGCTTTTTTAAAAGCCGGAAAAAAGCGGCGGACATTTTTATTTAAATGCCGCGGGGGATATTTAAATCCCCCGCGGATTTCCCTACGACGACTGCTGAAATTTACATGCCCCTTCCGGAAAAGGGGCCAGTGTAGACGTAGCCATACTGTTAAACAGGTAAACATTTGACGACTCTAAAATGAATTGTAAAGTGCAATTCTGCAAAACAGCAACTACTATTCCATTGGTTGAAACTTTGAAAATATTATATTAGCTGAGTCCAAAAAATCTTAAATTTATGTTTAACTTCTCCACACCACCACCAAATAAACACCATTCAGTACCACTACTCTCTTACACCACGCTGGCCTGGAAATGTCCTAGTCTTGCAGAGATTAAAATAATAGTACAGTGCAGTGCTGTATAATACTTTTCCCATTTTTCATTATGCAAATTGCATCTCCAAAAATTAGATGACCAAAAGTCACCTTTAAAGGCAATTTAAAATTGAATAGGCAACAAGAATTATATTGGATATTCAATAACTCAGATAATAAGTTATTTTACTCTCTGTTAATATTTGTTTGAAAAGTTAAAAAAATGTCAAAATACTCAATAGACTACAGTCAATGGTACTTATCATTAATATTCTAAAATTGATAAGCTGTTTATGGCTGGCATTCTTTCTGCTGCTTTTTTATATAACTATCTCATCACTCCACCGTCACACAAATTTCATCGACAGTGCTCATGCACAGCTATTAGCAATATGAATCTAACCATTACAAGAGGGAGGAAAATCGAACATGTGGCATTAATACGCAGTCCTGGTTCCTAACCATCTGATAGGCAGATGGTGTAAAGCGGATTCTCCAGCTGAAATGAAGGGGGACATCATTTAAAACCTTGTTTGCATTCTAACTGATATCAGTGCCATATTGATATACATGATACATCATGGCAGGATTTGAACAATCTAGTTTGTTTCAGTCATAAATGTTTACAGCCTAGTTTTTTATCTTTAGAAGCATGTTCTGAAGAGCGTATTTTTAATTTATGAAACCTATTGTTTACTTCAATTGAACCAAAAGATTAGAAAGGAGCAAGAATATTAAATTATCACAACTACAGCAATATAACTAAGATGGATGAATAAAGTATGTTTTTTTCAATAAAAGATGTTAGTAAAGGAATTAAAAAATTAACCTAGATATTTTATGCATTAAATACATTTATTCATTTAAACCTCCTAGCTTTTTTCCCATGAGACATACTTAGAAGTTTAATGCTTTACCCAGCTATTCATTTAAAGCTCTCACCGTGTGCAATTAATCTTGTCCAACAATTTAATTCAAAAAGCAAAACATCAAAAAGTAAAGTTCAATTCAACAATCACAGTCCTGAAGTAATCTCCTTGCTGCTGACAGTTCCTATAGACTCATCGGCAAAAGTCTGTTCAACATGTCTTGTAAGAGCTGTGTGAGCTTGAATTATAACTCAATTGAAAGCTCTCCAAGCCTCAGTAAGAATTCACATCTTAACTTCAGCTAGAAGAAGACCACAAAAAGAAACAGAGTAAATGATCTTTTTCTACAAAGCC